CATTTAGGAAGCCACCGCCACCATTTGCCTATCTCCAGCATTTTACCATTTGTTCCTGGACATATTCTCTTCTGATTTTTATCTCCAGCTAACGTGATTAGAATCATCAATTTCGTCATTTTTCTGGCCGTGTGGAACTGGAACCGAAGAAATTTCAGAAACAACAGAGGCTGCTATTGTTTGGATCTCGGTTTACTGGTTGGGCAATGGTGTTTGCATTTGCGTTTTTCCGTTTTCTGCGCACACGGAGTTTTTGAATTTTTTTGAGGTATTTAGATCAAGCGATTTCGGCCATCGGGATTTTCTGCCTCCCATGCCTTCCCGGCCCCTCAAAGGAGAGCGATTAAAAGCGACACCCGATTTTCGTTGGTAAATCCAGCAAAGATTTTTGCGGAAATACTACAGCAGAGAGCGAGATCGCTTTCAAACTTCGAGCCTACTTTTCTAGTTTCCGCCCATCCGTCCATTCTGCATTATAGGCATGGTATTTCGATCATTTCACTCCTCTTTCAACATACCCTATAATAATATGCGCCCATCGGCGTGTAAATGAGGAGGAGAAGAGAGAGAGAGAGAGAGAGAGAGACAGAGGAGGCTATTGTTGTGAAGTGGGCCAATGGATGTTTGTGTGGCTGCATGAGATAATTCATTCAAAGGGCTGTGGCCTTTGTCGAAGGCCACTTACGTTCACCACACACACGACAACATTTCCGGTCAGAGTTCAGTCTCCCAACTGCGTTGTCTGCTATCTTTCACCGCCAATTTCTAAATGATCTTTGCACTGGACTGCTCGCGATTCCTAGGGGTCTCACACCAGCCTACCCCCAAATTCATATCTGCTGCCTCCCCACCTTGATTCTAAACGATCCTGGGCCCTAATCAAATTCTAGGAGGCTCTGGCCTTTGGCTCTCAATTGGTGTTCTAGGTCCATGTTGGGGTTCGCCATCGAAAGAAAGGAACTGGGCACTACTAAACAAGCCTCCTCTCCTGCGGCATCTCTTCACGACAGCCCCCATTCTTTCACACAAGTTCTTTCTATGTACTCTGAAAGGCGGGAGATTTTGATCTGGGTTTAAACTTGGGATCATAGCTCCATTCTTTGATTTACTCCGAGTTTTCATATTTTAGGAAGACTTCCGGCTTGTACATACTACAAACACGAGACCTAGCTTCCCAAATAGTCGACCGCCATGTCTTTCCTGTCCCCTTAATGAAATAACCTACGTCTAACCTATCATGAAATTCTTTAGCTTAGAGCGCATCCAGTCCAAAAAACATCCCCCAGCCAGGTCCGCTTTGGATACATTCGTGTTTTGTCTAGCTGCCCCCGGGGCTCTCACTTCCGCCAGATCCCAGCAACTCAGAAAACGACAGGGTTATGGGTTCCTTTGACTGATAGCCCCAATTTCCATCCATTCCCCGGCATTTCTTGTGATTCTTGACAGCTTCCCAGGTTCAGTTAAAGTATTTCCGGCACGTTCACTTCCTTACTTCAGCTTTTTTCCCTTTACCTTTTAACACTATCATTCACATTTTACATTCACCCACCGCGCCCACCCACCCCCTGGCCCTAGCGTGGAGGGGTCAGCTCAGATTCCTTGAGATTGGCCAACTTGATCCCCTGGACGACAAAACAGGCGAATCAGGCTAGCAAGGCTTAGGCCAGGCTTAGGCAGGCAGGCCTAGGCGAGGCTAAGGAACAGGCAGGCATGGCTAGCGCTCAGGCAGGCTTAGGCTTGAGGCTGGAGCAACTAGGCTTAGGCTTAGGCTGAGGCAGGCTTTAGCGACTCTCACGAAAAACTTGAAAGGTTGCCTACGTGCGTTACTATGTTATGTATATTTTTGGTAGAATGAGCAAGCCTGCAGAAACCGCTTGCTCTGGGTGGAAGTCATCTGTCAATTCCTTATTGCGGTTTGACCACAATGCAAACATGGCTGCTATTTGCATCCATTCCTCTGGTTGACCATCCTCCCGGGTCAAGTCATTATTCAAGGCCGCCCAAATCGTGAAGTTTCGCTCATTATTACCGCGGTCGTTACGAAGACGAATCCAGGAAAATACCACATTTTCTGCATCGATAATCTACATATTTCAGTTTTTTTGACTTGCCTGGCCCGTTAAAAGTTTTAAGGGGACGGATAGCGCCTTTCATTTTTGATTTTTTGCTGCGGACTCTTTAAGTTTTTGTTCGCGGTGACGCAACGCGCACGCCCCGCTTGGCCGCTGTAAGGGTCTAATACATTACGCAATGGAAATTACGGGCTACCGGCCGCTGCCGCGGCCGCGGCAAAACCATAAGGAAACCATGGAAGCTTCTCCCGTCCCTTTTTGGAAAAGCACAGATATTACGAAACGCTCCACTTGACCCAAAGTGTCCGGTATACAGTTTCCGAAATTTGATCCGCCCTCCACCCCCACCAGTCTTTAGGGTATCGATCCGGGTTGTATCGGGTATGCAAGCGAGGGAGGGAGGGATGGTACAAGGCCAAAACAGAGACAGTCAGCAGCCACAACCAGCGCCCCGCTCTATTTATTCAGGTTGCACCATAGAGGCTACCGCCGCCAAGTCTTGGCTAAAGCTAGGTATATCCAAATGCGACTCAGAGACCGTAATACTTCCCAAATCAATGCTGCTAACACCCCAATGCTCAAACAGTGCCGAAGCCCTGGTCCAGTGGTGGCCCGACTCTTACATACCCCTAGCTTCTCCTGTAGGGTGGCCTACTGGTAAGATGCAAGGTAGACCGTGCCATGGGTCGTGGGTTCGACACCTGCCGCCCACAAAATTTTTTGCTTTTTGACCACCCAAAGATTGCTGTGAGTGTCGTTTATCTTCTTGCATTACTCACAAAGCCGAACTCAGTTGTTTTTGTGACTTCATGACTCATTTCCGCTCCGCTACCCCATAAAATTTGGGGCAACATCTGGGGGCAGCCGAAAAATATTTTTCATGTGCTGGGTGGCAGAGGGGCTGAAACTATCCATTTCCCTCGAATTATTTTCGGGGAAAACATGCCCGCGCGCACGTAAACAAGACTGCCGCGGTTTTGGGGTTGCGCTTTTTGCCAGTGAATTATGCTTTTTAACTCGTTATCGGCTCGGAGAGAAATCCGCCGAATAGTATAGAAAATGTGTCTTTCTCTCGTTCGCTCACTCGCCTCTCTCGCGCCTCTTTCCTCTCTCTCTCTCTCTCTCTTGCACGCTCTCCCCTTTTCTATAACTAAGTTCTTAAATTCATATTTTCAGCCTAAAAGATGGAAAAATCCGGTCCGCCCGCTGATGTCTCCACCGGCGAGGTTTTCGTTGTCGACAACCGATCCCGAGACGATTGGATCAAGCTCATCCTCCTTGTCGTGCTCATTATTGTGTTCCCAGTAAGTCTTTCGAGACGGCGGGCTAGCATGTATTCTTGAGGAAACGATTACGCAATCTAATTTTCAGCCAGCCGCCGTCGCCGTTCAGGCCAATGAGTGCAACGTGCACGTGATCATCAACTTGTTCCTCATCTTCTTCTTCATTATTCCTGCCACGCTGCACGCCATTTGGTAGGTGGAGAGAGAGCGAGGGAGCGAGACAGAGTGAGAGAGAGCGAGAGGGCGAGAGAGATTCCAGCGAATCAAACAGAATTTAATCCATCTTTTCCAGGTACTGCTTCTTCCGCCAACGCCCCGAGCTCATCATCGCCTAAATAAATCAATTTTTTGCATCCTAAACCCATTTTTTCTCAAGCCAAGGTTTTCATTTCCGATCCCCGGCATATCCCCCCAAAATGAGATCACAAGAAGACGCATCCTTCCCCTGAAAATACGAGTCCCCCATCTGGCAACTGACACTTCATTTTTCCGTTTTTTATTTTGTAAACAAATTTTCTTAATTTTCCGGAATTTTCTCCTCATTCCCCGGATCCTCAATTCTCGCGAAATTTTCCATGTCTAAGTGAATAAATGGTTTTTGACGGAAACGGGTGACCGCAAAATACAAACTACGGTAACCATGGCAACGGGGCGCAAAATGCTTTTCTGGAGGGGCAGGGAAAACCTGACTCAAAAGACTTGATAACTCCCAAAAAATGACGAACAAATGGGTGAATGCACTGCACGATGACGCGGCACAGGTTTGTAGTTTGTACTTTGTTGTTTCTGGTTTAATTTTCTTGCCTGTAGTCAAACATAAGGGCCTGAATTGCCGGAAACGCTAAAGTTTCGAATAACGGTCGTAGTCGAAAAATTCGAGCCTGGGGAGCAGGGTAGTAGGTAATGTTTTATCTCCGGGTAGCTGAGGCTGGTATCCTTTAAGTTTCTGTAGTTTGTAGTCGATTATCGAAATCGTAGTTCGCAGCCTAAAATCTCACGAAATGTAACCCCGACCACAAAGTGTTTTGTAGTCCCTAGAGAATTTTGTAGTTTTTAGTCGCAAATCACCATCTAAATTCGACACAAAGCGTCTAATTTCCAGGTACATGCTATTGGGCCATGCGTCACGATGGGTGACCTCAACGGGGACGGCGATGTGAAGCTGATCGTCGCGGATATGGGCATTAATAGGTATAGTTTAATGGATAGTGCCAGCTGGCTGTTGAACGTCTTGCTGACGTTTTTTAAATTTAAAAGGATCATGCCGTCCAGTTCATTCAAATAAAAGTACTGGCTCGGAGCACAGCGGCTCTGTGTTTAGCCTAAGCCTAAGCTCTTCCTCTCAATCTCTCGCTCGCATTCTGGTGCGCTTAAAGGGATGGTGCCCGCTAACAATGAACGGCTTGCTGACGTCGCCAGAATAAACCGCTTTTCAGAATCAACATGCGCCTCCGCATCTTCAAAGGGGTCGGCGTGGTCGGGGAGTCCGTACTTGCCGAAGTCCCAGGTGCTGTCTGCTGTTTCCACAATGAACAGACTACCGTACCCTCGGTCGCCATCGCATCCGGTCATTCGCTGCTCATCTACAAGAATCTCAAGCCCTTCTACAAGTTTACGGTCCCTGGTTCGAAGGTATCGTTCCGTTGGAAGCCGCAACGGCGTTCAAAGACATCTACTACTCAAGTGCTACGGTTTGACCGAAAGCAAAAAGCTTTGTGGCGGGTGGGGGTCGAACCCGGAACTTGTGGATGGTAAGCACGAGCACTACCAATTAACCAAGCTCAGAGAATCGATAGATTAAGCCTATTTTTCTTGTTTAAGTCGTTTTCGTCCATTTTCCTTCTGTCACCATCCCTTTAAAATGTCCTTCAGGTGAACCCGATCGAGGAAGAAGCCTGGCAAAAAGCCGGTGCCGGCGAGATTTCGGTAAATCAGCTCAATACTGTACTCAGCAACCTTAAACAAGAGGTATACGGTATTTATATGATGTATTACAGCATACCGTAATTAGGTACTTCTCCGGAATCTCACCTCCACCTCACAGACTTTCCTGCTGGCCAGTGAGGACGACAGGGTGGCGCTGGTGCATCGTTATGGCCAGAAAACACTTCAGAATACGGTCAGTGCGTTTCTGTACTATAAACGTGGTTCAGTGCTCGATTACCTGCCTGACAGCCATCAAAAAGAATACAGCCGATGTCTCGCCAATCGACGTGCTGGTTATCGGAACCGAACGTGGGGTGGTGCATGCCATCGATTCACAGGTGCCTTTCGAGTTAGAAAACTAACCAAAACACCTAATAGGTTTTCTCACATTAGCGGATGTTATCAGGGCCAAACTGATATAAAAGCCTTACCTTTACAAACTTTTACGAAAAAATTAGAAAAAGTTTAGATTTTTCGACCAAAATGTCGAATTCTGAATTTTTTAACGGGTTTTAAGTTAATTTTTAGACTCAAAAAATCATGAAGCCATACCAACGACAATATTAGCATATCTACTATTAAATTGTTAGTATTATTTTTTGGCTGATATTTTTGTTAATTTCAGAAAACGCAAAAAAATTAGCTGACTGGAACCCGCAACATCCCCCCGTTCATGCAAAAGCACCCGATTGAGAAATTAAAGAAATGACCGTAGTCGTAAATAACGCTGATCAAATTCATAAAATAAATAGTATTAGGCAAATGTTAGGCTTTCACCGTCGTCCTGACCTGCCAACTCCCATCGACTCCCGCATTTCTATGTACGCATGGTTGGTTTTAACGGAGTTTGAACATTGTTTAAATGTTTCAGCTTCAAAATTTTCATCTAAATGTAAGACATTTGACAATTAAAGGTCCGTAAAAAGAGTCAATTACATGCCGTAAACACTTGCTTTCCAGGAGTTTTCGACGTCGATTTCCGAATCTTTGTCGCAACCCGTGATGGTCAGATTTTCACGGTCAAACGGGATCAGGCCCGAGTGGACAAGCCGACGATCACCATGAAAGCCGATATTTTGGCTATTACAAAGTTTAACAAAATGGTACGACGAAATTTAACCTTTATCTTTGGTATTTTTTAGTTAGCCGTCGCCTGCGTCGACAACACTCTCACGTTTTTCACGTTCAAGGGTAAACGCCAGAATCAGGTAGGTCAAAATTAAGCTAAAAAATTCTATAGAAACAGATTTTTCTAAACCGGCATAGTCGTCGGCTAATTGGTATCGTTGTTGCTTCCCGATTGAACATCCCGGGTTCGACCCCTGCCGGGCGTAAACTTTTGTTTTCTTTGGGGTAATGATGGGATTTGCCTTAGTAGGGGTAGTGGAAGCCGTAGAGGGCGCGTTGCGGCTAGCTCTTGGCTAAAAATTGGTTCTGCGGGTCTCCTAAGCATTCTAACGCGTCGCGTTTGCGTCACATGCGTTGGGAGCTAAGAATTAGTCGGCAAGAGGTTGAGACGGTCACGTCTGCGTCGCGGCCACTTGCAGCTTCAAGATTTATCCACAATTTGGTCAATCCGTTTTGCAGATCAAACTGCACTCCCCGATCCGCGGCCTCGAGCCGTTCTCCTACGCCCCTCGGCAGTACACCGGCGTTTTGGTGGCCCTCGATCATCAGGTTAGATCGAAGAGGCTTTTCAAAAGCTTAAATCTCTTCAAATATCTTAAAATCCATTATTCCAGGTGCGCATCTACAACGACATGTTCCAACTCGACCAACTGCGCGTCGATCCGAAAATACGGTGGATAAAGTATGGACCGTTTGGGAGGGAGGAGGGCGGACTGATTATTGGCACTACTGGTATAGGTTTTGGGCCCTTTCTTCGATTTTGTGCGTTTTTCAGAGGGTGGCATCATCGTCAAGTTGTTCAGGCGGTTGGCCAAGCTGGACGAGAAGATTGAGATCAACCAACAGGTGGGTGATAAATTTTAAAGAGACCGGCCGGCCATTGGTAGCGAATTTTTGGCTATGAATTTTACAGTTTTACGCGTCGCGACACGCAACACGCACGCTTTTAGCTGGCGTAATCGATGCCGGAATGAAAAGGCGTGCGTGCGCGTTGCGTGGCGCGGGCCGCCAAGTTAGGATCTGGCAGAAAAGAGCGTCCGACGTATGCGTCCGACGTGGCTTATGCGTAGCGGTCTCACGAATTTTCGGAGAAACCTCAAAAAAATTTATGTTCATTAAAACGTAATTAGGCGGGTCGTACTATAGCCAGGTATCCAGTTCAGGTAGCCGCCCACAACATAAAACTCAGCATCCCCCCGAAAAACGCGAGTTTTTGTGGATCAAGCGATGCGAGAGAGAGAAGCCGGCATTCAGATGCATCAGGTGGGAGTGTATGAAATTTTTTGTGAATTTTTTACATTACAGGCCTATCAACGCGATCTATTCATGCTGAAATACCTAACAACAAAGACGTTCTACGAGATGACACGATCCTCATTGAATACAGTTGCTATTTCTGGTGATTCGAAAGAGGCTGTCGATATTAGTGTCGAGGTATGGCAGAATTTTTGGATACCTAATATTTTTAGATCCACGGCTTTGGCCCATCCTTCAGATTAACGGTCAATCTCAACAATAGCTCGTAAGTTAATGAAAATAAAATGTCATTTTTTAGAAAATTCCCAATCGATGAGGCTGTGATATCATTCATCTACGATTCGACAATGTATCGATTTCAGCATTCGATGATTAATATTGCATACGTGGTACCTGGTGAGTTATAAAAACCGGAATTAAACCTTGTCGAACTAGCAGAACCCTTTTGAAAATTCCTAAAAATAAAATTCCAGGCCGTTCCTACTCCTATTTCACGGGCGTCACCTGTCTACACCCGGAAAAGGGCACAAATTCGGAAGTGCGAGCCCTGCTGTGTAAAAAGGATCGCAGCGTAGGCCGAAGCAGCTTATAGAATTTCAATACATTTAGAATCCGCTCGTCACATCCATCATCACGATGCCAATATCGGAAATGAGCCTTTTGGATTGAAGATTGAGATTAAAATTTATAAAAACATGGGACAGACCGAAAGATCTAAATGCACAAAAAGCTTATAGAAATTCGATACCTTTAGAATCGGCTGGACAGGTGGATCAGCACAATGCAAATATCGAAGGATTAATCTTTTGGATTAAAATATCCAGAATATATAAAAGCTAGTGGTCAAGCAAAAAATATAAACACAATAGCCAGCTTGTAGTTTCTTCGACTATGCAAATATAGAAACTTTTTAGTACTGGGAGCCAGCCTTAGTTACTAAAAAAATCGAAATTCCCCTAGAAATGTAACATCATTTTAATGAACGTTGGATTTTCCTGACTAGCTTTTCCTGGCCAAGTGGTAAAACTCTCGCTTGGCACGCACAGGGTCAGGGTTCGAATCCCGTCGGCGGCGAATTGCAGAATCGCAAGCAAAGCCGTCAGTGCTCATTACATGACGTAATCTTTTACAGCGATGCGGTTGGAGACGTTGCTTATGGCCATCGGGCTATTCGCCATCACCTCGGCCCATCCTAGAGGTAGAAATCGATTGGTTACGGTAGCTAGGGCAAGAGATAGGAGCCGGCAGGCACGTACCTCTTTATGGCACGGCATTTTACCCATGGTGTAGTGGTTAGCATATTGGGCCCGTGATCTAACGATCGAGGGTTCCAACCCTGTCAGTGCCAAAGCTTTCCTTTTCACCAAAATCGTTGCATTTTTAGGCCGAGGTCCTCGCCGCCCTCGCTGGGGAAATATGACGACCGACGAGGTGGTGGAGTTCAAAAAGGTAATGACTTGCTATGGGAGACTCCAATACTTCTTTAGTCTCTGCGCCGGACGAACGTTGACCGCTTCCACAACGCTCTCGAGAAATTCCGCGAATCGAAGAGCATGTCGCAGAGTGACAGCGATATCAAGGAGTTCAATGAACGGATTAAGGTATAATTTATATTGACTTTTAGCTATTTTGTTTTATAGAAAATTGGGCAGAAGACGCGCTCAAAATCGTTCCGGAAGCTGGGGAATAATGTGGCCGAAGTGAATGAGAATGTTGGGGTGGCCGAGAATTTGTACAAGGGAGATATGGCATTGACGGAGTAAGTGAAGAGAGAGGGGAGAGAGAGCGAGAGTGGGAGAAAGAGTGAGAGGGCGAGAGACATCTAAAGTCTTAATTTTCAGTGAACAAGTCCAAATTTTGCTTGGAGATTTTGTGGATGAGGCGACGACGGAAACAACTCAAACAACGGATTCTGGTGGGTAAACGGTGAAAGGGAGTGTACGGAGTATCGGAGCGAAATTTCAGAGCTGGTCCAGTACAGATGAATGAGTTCTATACCAGATGGTTAAGTTTTTTTCAGAGTCGAAACGTGAGAGACGTCAAGCGTACGTCGACCGGAAGTACCCATCGACCATCTGGGGCAAAACTTTCTACTATTATTTTGATTCATCCCTCTCGGCTGCCGGAAAAACAGCCGCCCAGTTGGCCATCGCCTTCTGGCAGAACTCGACATGCATCAATTTTGTTCAGAGCACTACGGCAAAGTGGGTAACATGGTTAAAAGCAAAGGAAAGCCAGACGGATGACACAAAGGTAGACCACAAAAATCCAATATTTTTAGGAATCGCGTCCGTTTCTTCAAAGGTTCCGGTTGCTATTCGTACATAGGCATGATCGGAGGCGTGCAAAACCTATCGCTTGGTGCCGGCTGTGAATCGGTGTTTTTAAGAGGGTTTAAGAACTGTAAAGAGTTGTAGTTTGGAACGGCAGCCCACGAGATCGGCCATGCCCTCGGCTTCTTCCACACACAATCGAGACTCGATCGGGATGCGGCAATTAAGGTCAACATCGCGAATGTAAAGAACGGATGGGCAGACCAGTTTGATAAGGTTTGCAAATTTTGTATGGACTACTGTAATTTCTGGAAACTTTAAGGGTTAGCAACCATTTGTTTGGTTCTGTAAAATCTTTAACATTTTCTTTTAGATTTCTAAAAGCCTTTTAGAAGGATATTATACTATTATACTATTATACTTGCAATACAGGTTAAATATTACTAAAAAACGTTTGAATCCCCAAAATTCGATTCAGGAAACGACAAGTACAAACTACAACTATGGGATGCCCTACGATTACGGTAGCGTGATGCACTATGGTGGCGAATCGGTGTCGAGCAATGGGAAGCCGACCATCGTAGCAAAGGTAGTTTTTTTGGTTGAGACTTTATAAATTGTTGCGTTTAAAATGATTTCAAAGTTGAAAAATTAAGCTACACCCTGTTAATTACACCTATTAGCGCATATGATAAGATTATCCTAGAAAATCATCCCATTGCAGGTCGCGCCATATCAAGACACGATGGGCTCAGACTTTGTTTCCTTCTATGATATTTCGATGATGAACGAGCACTATAACTGCAAAGGTACGGCTTGGATAATTGGTAACACTGTAGCTTGGCACGTTAACGGTCAGGGTGCGACCCCTAGCCAAGGCAAAACTTTTTTGCTTCGTGTGGGAAATTTTGATGATGGTCAGGGCTAGGTGACATAAACCATTTGCGCATCATTCTTCTAACTTCGACACTCTAATTTTTACTTTCAGCCACCTGCACGACGGGAGCAACGTGCCTGAACGGAGGCTTCAGAAATTCACGAAGTTGCAGCACCTGTATCTGCCCGACTGGATGGGGAGGAGCCACCTGTAATCAAAGGGTACTGTATCTACTATTGGCTATTAAATGCCGTAACCGATTCAGACATCCGGTTGTGGGGCCGAACTCACTGCCACCGCTACAGTCAAAGACCAAGTAGTGACGGTGGGAGATGGAACGCGACAGGAAAGAACCACCGCCGCCACTTGTATCTATCACATCAAGGTAAAGTGTTTTCGCAAGAATCATAAAGAGCGCATTTTAGGCCCCAACCGGGATGAAGGTCGAGCTGACGCTGATCAACATGCTCTACCAACAATGCTTTGATGGATGTGTATTCACCGGGGTAGAGGTGAAAGCATCGAAGGATCATCGTTACACCGGCATGAGGTAACATCAAGGCCCCGCTAGCAGAATCCTTTGGGGAAATTCGTCAAGGGACAGCCAGAAGACCCAATTTTTCAGATACTGCTGCAAGGAGAACAGCGGCAAGAAGATCGTTTCTGAAGGCAATATCGTGCCGGTCTTGATCTACAATCGATACTATAAAACTGGCGTCACGTTGCGTTACAGATACGGTAGCTTTAGCATAATTCACCAAGAGCAATCGCTCAATTTAGTCCCGGCCACCACAGCCTCAACGGTCATGATCAGCCAGATTGCCGGCTCCCGCGCAACATACTAACAGCAAATGCATCTAAATGATGTAATAAAGCTATCAATAGTTTATGCGGGTATTCACGTTGCCAACACAGCCGACACCCACACAAATGTAGTATAATTTTAGCTGGAGAATGGACGGCCAAAAAACCCATGTAATTTGTACAGTTGTGTAAACGTTGTGGGGGTGAAGATTGGGAGATTGATGAATTTGTATAACACGATCGGCTCTTCAAATACCCCCCCCCCTTGACTGACTGACTCCCGGGGTACATTTTTTGGGGCTCCGGATGCGACGAAGGGCCTGCAACTGTAAAAAATGAGGCCCCATCAAATATATTGGGGGATGACATGGGGGATACTAAAGCTGTATAAACATGGATCTCGGGTCATTCGGAGAGAAATCGGGCTTTATAAGGAGTCGAGGTCACCGGCCGATACCACTGAATTCCCAGCGAGCCATGAGGTTAGAGGCGTTGCTTTTGGCCATCGGCGTTTTCTACGTGACCTCAGCTTTTCCTGGAGGTATACGGGGATGGGTTACGGTAGCTGGGACACGGAATCGAAAATCTGGCGTTATGCACCCCGTTGTCCCGGAAATTTAATAGTACTTTCAAAAATAATTTGCAGTCCGCCGCTTCCGCCGAGGTCGCTGGGGCAACATGACCACGGACGACGTGGCGGAGTTCAAAAAGGTAAAAATTAGGACCCAACTCGAGTTGTAAATTCCGCTGCAGTCGCTGCGACGCACCAACGTCGAACGCTTCCACAACGCGCTCGAGAAATTCCGTGAATCGAGGAGCATGTCGCAGAGTGACAGCGAGATCAAGGAGTTCAATGAACGTATCAAGGCAAGTAGTATCTGTTGTTGATCACGAGGGGGCCCGTTTTTAGCAAATTGGACAGAAGACGCGCTCAAAATCGTTCCGGAAGCTGGGGAATAATGTGGCCGAAGTGAATGAGAATGTTGGGGTGGCTGAGAATTTGTACAAGGGAGATATGGCATTGACTGAGTAAGTGAAGAGAGAGGGGAGAGAGAGGGAGAGAGCGAGGGAGTGAGATAGCGAGAGACATCTAAAGTCTTCATTTTCAGTGAACAAGTGCAAATTTTGCTTGGAGATTTTGTGGATGAGGCGACAACCGAGCCAACAGATTCGGGTGAGTACGCGATACAACAGAATGTACAGAGTAGCGCAACGGAATTCCGAACAAATCCGCAAAACGGAAAGTTGGCGTTGTCAGAACCGCAAAAATTGTGCGCCACGGTCCTAGTTTTCAACGTTTTTCGCGGTCGATTGTTACCAACCATCAAAATACGACCTTTAGAAACAATTCGTGAGAAGCGTCAGGCCTACAAGGACAAGTATTACCCATCAACAATCTGGGGCAACACCTTCAATTATTATTTCGACTCGTCCCTCTCGGCTGCCGGGAAAACAGCCGCCCAGTTGGCCATCGCCTTCTGGCACAACTCGACGTGCATCAATTTTGTTCAGAGCACTACGGCAAAGTGGGTACCATTCTATCCGGGCTTTACGCGTCGCAACATGCAACGCGCTCCTCCTTTGCGCTGCTGATCCCTTTAAAAATGATTCTATATATCTTTAAGACCATTTTTCAGGAATCGTGTCCGTTTCTTCAAAGGTTCCGGCTGCTATTCGTACGTGGGTATGATTGGAGGAGTGCAGGATCTGTCACTCGGTGCTGGATGTGAATCAGTAATTTGTTAGGTACAAAACGTACTGTAAAGAGTTGTAGTTCGGAACGGCGGCCCATGAGATCGGCCATGCCCTCGGGTTCTTCCACGAACAATCGAGATTCGATCGCGATACGGCAATTACCGTCAATCTGGCCAATATTCAGACAGGATGGGCCGATCAGTTCGATAAGGTATGAGTTTAGAAAATGGTAATTTCAAAATTTTATTCAGGAAACCACAAGTACAAACTACAACTATGGGATGCCCTACGATTACGGTAGCGTGATGCAATATGGCGGAGAATCGGTATCGGGCAATGGAAAACCGACCATGGTCGCAAAGGTATCATTTTCTTAGGGCGTCCGGTCACTACCCCGAAAAGTCACAACCCCGAAAGTCACTACCCCGAAAAGTCACTACCCCGAAAAGTCATTACCCCGAAAAGTCACTACCCCGAAAAGTCACTACCCCGAAAGTCACTACCCCGAAACATTTCATATTTTCCCGAAAACGCATGAGCGGATTTTCCCCGGAAAATCATGCATCATTCGTAAATTATTTCGGGGTAGTGACTTTTCGGGGTAGTGACTTTTCGGGGTAATGACTTTTCGGGGTAGTGACTTTTCGGGGTAGTGACTTTTCGGGGTAGTGACTTTCGGGGTTGTGACTTTTCGGGGTAGTGACTGTACCCCTTTTCTTAGCATTTATTCAATTTTACAGTTCGTGTTTAAAATATACGTTAGTTCACTAACTTTATTGTACGTTACGAATTTAATTTAATTAAGAAAGTTTCAATACGTAGCCCCTTTTAATAGACATAAATACGACCAAAAACCAAAAAATGCTATATTCTAGGTGGCCCCTTATCAAGACACGATGGGATCAGATTTTGTCTCATTCTACGACATTTCGATGATGAATGAGCACTATAAGTGCAAAGGTTCGGCTTGGCTGATTGGTAGTATTCTCGCTTCCCACCCGCACGACCCGGGTTCGACCCCGCCCGCGGCGGAACCTTTTGCCGTTTGGCCAAGAGCTTATAGCGGGGCAGTTAGCAGAAACCATTTAGGACAATTTGGTGCTAAATGTAAAGGGTTAGTTTTTACATTCAGCCATCTGCACGACGGGAGCAACTTGCCTGAACGGAGGCTTCAGAAATTCACGAAGTTGCAGCACCTGTATCTGCCCGACTGGATGGGGAGGAGCCACCTGTAATCAAAGGGTACTGTACTGTACTGAAGAGTCGTTATTAAATGCCGTAATCGATTCAGACATCCGGTTGCGGGGCTGAACTCACCGCCACGGCTACAGTCAAAGACCAAGTAGTGACTGTCGGTGATGGGGCATCGGTGGAAAGGAATACCTTTGCTACTTGCATCTATCATATCAAGGTAAAGCATAGCATACGGTACATGGAGCGCCTTTTAGGCCCCAACTGGGATGAAGGTCGAGCTGACGCTGATCAACATGCTCTACCAACAATGCTTTGATGGATGTGTTTATACGGGGGTTGAGGTGAAAGCATCCAAGGATCATCGATACACCGGAATCAGGTGGGGCAAACTAGCAGGGATCATTTGGGGAAATGTGAAAGGGGCGGGCAAGGGAACGCTATCGATTTAGTTATGGACTAGTTATAGTTACGCGCGGCGTACCCCATTATTGAGTAATCGATTACCGCTGCCAAATTGCGGCCAAATTCATAATTCGGTTGCGTGCCGCGGGCGAAAAAAAAGTTTTAATAAATTCATAGGTAGGCCAGGTCAGCGGTAAGCTAGCAAAGATCCCGAATTTCAGATACTGCTGCAACGGCGACAGCGGCAAGAAAATCATCTCCGAGGGCAATATCATGCCAGTCCTCATCTACAATCGATACTACAAAACTGGCGTCACTTTGAGATATAGATACGGTAGGTATTTCAACTTTTAGCAAGAAAAACGAGTCCATTTAGTCCCAGCGGCGACAGCTTCAACCGTCATGACCAGCCAAATCGCCGGCTCCAGCGCCACTTTTTAATAAGATCTAAATGATGTAATAAAGATTATGTTATATTTTGGAGCATTATTACGAAAGGATGGGCTTTTATTACGGTCTATTCTCCCCCCCGCCTAGTTTCCATGGAGTTGAAACGCTGACTGGAGAAAAATGGGCTTATCGCCCGGGCAATGGCAGTCTATGGAGTCTAAACATGTGAATCAGCGCCAGTTTTTGCAGAACAAAAAGCAATTGGACAGCTTTTAATGAAAAGAAAAACAATTGGACAATTTATTTAGAAAAAAACAACATAAAAAGACAGTTGAGACAGCAATCATTTAAATATCTAAATAACCTTAAAATTCCGCAAATTGCCGATCAAAATTTTTTAAAGTTTTAGAAACTTTATAAAATTCTATAAAAGCATTTATAACCTTTGTCTAGTGAAATTTCATCATTTTTTATTAAAAACTTCATAAACCAAACCCGATTTCATCATTCGCTTACGCGACAAAATCCCGAAATGATTACGCTGTTTTATTGGGGGCCCCGCCCCGACCCCCCTATAAAAGGCTCAGCTGTGCCTGTACCGCCATTCTAATTCTTTTACCAACTTTTATCTCTTTTGTAGCACTTGATATTCTAATTCTAATTCTTTTACCAACTTTTATCTCCAGACAATTTTAGCTTTATTTGAATTGGTTACGGTAACTGAAATGAAATTCCAATCTTTCCACCGTACATCCAGCGTAAAGTCGGATAATTCGTACTTGACAAAAATTAATTGATTTTGGAACTATTTATGTTCTTCTTTTACCGGAAACTGGATTTTTAGTCACTTTTCACCTCTGCCGAATCTCTTTCGCAAGACAACTTCGCTTACGCGATAAAAATCCCACCCCTGTTTCGAAAATCCCCAATTTCCGTGTGAAACAGCTCGTTTTGTACCAACATCATCTATAATTGTCGACTTTGCAGAAATCAACCTTAAAAAGCAACACAACAGTCCACAACAAACAAAATGCCCAGTAAAGCAGGCAAAAATCGAAAACGGCAGCAAGTTGCCGAGCGTTTACAGCAAAAAATGGAGGAGGAACCGCCAAAGGAGCCGGAAGGTGAGGAAAATCCTCGAAAAAACGTATATCAATCGTCTTTAGAACCTACAACCAGAAGTTCATCACCGTTATCCATCGCTACGCAATCATCAATTCAAGAATCACGTAAGTTTTTTGGTCATTTTTTTAGTTTTTCTACAAATCCGAAAGTTGTAGGCCGAAATACATGCGCTTTTTTTGTATGTATTAACTTTTAGGGTTAGCTGGGATTTCAGGATTGCTCTTTTGGGCATTGGGTGTTTGCTAAAATATGTTTAGCCCGAATTTTAGTGGCTTCGCTCCACCGAAGCCAAGTAACCACGCCTCGCCAAAACCGCATTGGCTCCCTCTCGGCCCTCATCGACCCGAAGATGGCCCCGGCCGATCGCAGCAGATTCCCAAAGGTTTGCAATTTCTTTGGAGCTTTTGCATTAACGGAGGGATTAACATTTTTTGGATCGAATTTTGCTAATATAAGTAGCAAAAGTGTCTTTAAGTATTTTTTACTAGTCCTAAACGGACAAACTTCGCAATTTTTAATAAAAAAATACAAAAATATCAATGTTTCGTAAGTAAATTCCGTGTTCTAGCAGAATTTCGAATTTTTTAACATTTTTAAAAATGATTTTTATAGTAAAAATGGTTTATTTTATTAAAAACATTAATAATATAACCAATCACGTCACTAGTTATTTCTAGACTAATTCAATCCCCCGATAATGCTACAGGACCATTTCTTTGCATCTTATTTGCTTGTTAATTAATTTTTCTAAATACTTTAGATAAACCTTCGAACGAACATCTACCGGGTCGAGTTGGACCCCGACACCATTGTATATCGATATACGATGCGGCCAGAGCTCGTGCTGAAGTCCGATCAAGGGCGGCCCGCAGTGGATTTGAGTCGTCGAGGAGGGGATGAGTCGGTTTTAGAAATTTTGCATGCCTTTAGAAAGGGCGGCAAAGCTTTTGGGCAAAAAAGAAAAAAGTTTACGCCGGGCGGGGTTCGAACCCGGGTCCTGTGGCTGGGTGGCAAACGCACTACCATCTAACCATACTTACGGCGTGGCTGGAAAAAGCGAAAAGGCTGCTGTTGACTATTTTTAAAAAAGAAAAAGGTTGATTTTTCTTCTGGGTGGTTTTTTGTTGTCTATAAAAATGTCGTTACAGCGCTGAACGTACACGCCGTGCCGAGCTGATCCGTCTGGCCCTAAAAACCGCCCTCGAGACATACGGTCTCCTTCGCAACGGAACCCACGTCGTCCATGACGACTCGGCAACCATTTTCACTGATGGAGAGCTACAGCTTAAACAGGTTGGCATAAAATACTCACTGAAAAATTCCGATTTCTAGCACAACGATACCCTAACCGTCAATATCCGTGAGCTACCCCAAAGGGCTCGCGAGCTCGTCGAACGGCATGATGCTGAACAACTACGCCTAGAGATCGTGCCTTGCCGGTAAGAGTTAACTACTGTACCTAGGTCATAATTCAGCGAGTTCGCCGCCTCATTCCGGTTGGGCGACGCCCTGGAGGAGATCAAACTTGGGGGCACCGACCGGCCGTTGCGACAGTTTTTGGAGATCCTCACCAGCCAGCCAGCGTCAGTTTTTTAGCAAGCAATATAGAATATTTATTAATAAGACAAATAGGATTTAATTAAGTCATAAATCTTGAAAAAACTTAATTTAGGACCGGCTACACGAATTTCGGCAAAGGACGCTCGTACAAAGATGTCGTCTTTCGCGACTTGGGCCAGTTCGGCCATGAGCGTCGTCATGGAGTGCGAAAAGTGGGTGATCTGCAGCTAGCAGGGTTTATTTCGGAAATTATTTAACTAACACCAGGTTTGAAAAGCCGCTTCGCGGCTTTTCAACCCTGGCCCCGTCTGATCTCATGATCTATTTCACTTTGCATAATTCTCGATTTCCGATGACAAAAAATGAAAATCGCCCCTTCTACCCATTATATAGGCTGCCGTCACTTCCGGCGCATGCTAATTTTTTCCTAACAAAGAGGGTCCCCGATTTTTTAACATAAACCTAAATTTAATGTCGAAAATAGACAATTTTGGTAAATCTGATAAGCGTGCAGTCATCCCAGAGCCATTACCCACCTAATGACGTATCATACATACCTTAAAATTCATCCCCTATCGAGATATCCTCCGGACACCCTGACGGAAGTTGCATGCAAAGTGGCACACACACAAACACACAGACACTATTTTTTTATATATAGTAGGATTCACCCTTCTTTTTCATGGTTAAAATTATATAATTTTCTAGGGCATCCGCTTCCTCGAGGGCCCGACCGGAGGCAAAGATTTGTTGGCAGCACTCGTATTGGATAGTAAGGATTTGTTTAAGGTTTTTACGTCCTGTTTTTTAGCGTGTACCGGAACTTTTTACAAGCCCCAGCCGCTTCTCAAAGCCATCATGGAGCTAAACGGCTGGAGAACGCCGAAAGACGTTCACTTCAGCGGAAACGGCGGGGCGTTTGCCAAGACGAATTGGTTTCTACATGGTGGGTCTTTAGTGGCAACTGGCAGAGTACTTTGGAGAATTGAAAATCGGTGCTTACGCATTAACGGGGGGGGGGTGGATTTTCCAAAATCCAAAATGCCGAATATTAGTGCCCGAAATAATAAAAGGTTTGACCATATTTTACTGAAAAATTTTTAGTTACAAGAACGCTCGAAATTTTGAATTTTTGATCGAAAAATCGTGATCCTAACGTTTAGCAAGTGAAAAACAGCGTAGAAAGCTCTCTAGTAAGCGTAGAAAAATTGGGTCCCCAAAAAAGAGCCACCCGATATTGCACAGGAACCAGAAAATATATTTTTAGGCCTCCGCCTTGGTGTCGACGGGACGCCGACCACATTTGTGTCCGCCGGATTGACAAAAGATGCCATTGGGTATGTTGGCATACTGTAATAATCCTTATTTTTAGGAACCAATGGCCATTGGTGCTTCCAAAAGGCAAGAAAGGCCAAGCAGGCCAACAACCAGTCCCTATCGAGAAGCTTTCGATTCTTCCCAACCAGCGAGTGCCGCTGAATAAGGCTGAAGTCCCTCCGGTAAGTACTTAGCGAACTAATTTAAAAACCGTATTTTTGCATGCACTTTACTTGGTCCCAACGCGCGCTTCACCTGGCCCACTAGTGTGGAGGGGGTCCCACAGATTTTTCCTTGACTTGGTCATCGATTGCCCTTAGGCTTAGGCTTAGGCTTAGGCTTAGGCTTAGGCTTAGGCTTAGGCTTAGGCTTAGGCTTAGGCTTAGGCTTAGGCTTAGGCTTAGGCTTAGGCTTAGGCTTAGGTTGGGCTCGACCTATGGGAAACGGCCATATCGATAGGCTTGCGAAATTTTGCTTATTGAGAATAAAAGTTTTTATCAAATTTGATGACTCGTAAAATCAGTAAATGTTTTAAAATACCGAAATTTTGGTCAGTTTTTGTCGAAAAATCGGTTTTTGCATGGGTCTTAGGCTCAGAAAACAGAAAAAGACAGACAAGGTAAGAAAAACGAGATTAAAAATTCTATATCCTTAAAAATAATTTTTATCGAAAACTTTCCAGGATAAGCCTGTTTTCCCAGCCCAACGCTACCAAGGTATTGCCAATCACCTGGCTGCCCTTGATTTGGCGACAGATTCGCGCCGTACACTGGCCAGGTCAGCTAGCAGAGATCCTTTGTGAACTATCCACACTTTCAGCCTTGGTGTCAAGATCAGCCCAAAACCGCTGGAAGTGGAGGGTTTTGTCCGGAATGCACCTGCTGTCAACTACGGTGAAAAAAGGCTCCCTACGGAAAATGTGAGTACTAGTGGTTTTTGACCATCATCCCCATATTTAAATGTCGAATACCGATTTACAAAATACTGCCTATAAGGCCTAACCATAATACCGTAATCCAAAACGCCGAAATTCCTAAATTATAAATCCAAAATGCCGAAATTCGTTATAACGAAAATCATAATACCTAATTATCTAATTATCGAATTCGGTGTAGTAAAAAAGATCAGTACAAATAAATATTGACAACTTTTTAGGCGTCCTGGAAGACAATGGCGGCTAGTTACGCCGTCGGCGCAAATCTCGTCGGGATTACGGTATTGTGGAATGGACCGAAATTTGTGCAAAACGCGGTTCACCAATTCGCCACGCAGCTACAGCAGAAAGCCAGGGCTAAGGGAATCAACATTGGGCAGGTAGAAATTGTCGAAATTTCTTGGATTTTGCTTATTTTTTTAGGTCGACTTCATCGCTGACCCTGTCGACATTGAGGCACAATTCCGGGAAAAGGACAGTTACTTCGTCAAGGTTGGAATTGGCTCCGAAAACTGGTTCCTTGGCATTAGCGGGGGAGGAATTATTTTTCCGACAAGTTAGATGGAAAACATTTTAAAAACTTGGAAGAAAAATTTTTGTCGAAAATCATCTATTTTCTCGAAAAATCGATATTTTATTGTATTATCTAAAAAACTTCTAGCGATTACGTAAATAGTTTAAAAATAGCATTTACCAGGGTTGAAAAGCGGCTTCGCGCCTTTTCGACTCTGGTCCCGTCTGATCCCATGAGGATAGTGGTGGCTCTGCATAACTCGACCAAACTCTGATAACGAAAACTGAAAGGCTCTCTGCTATTATAAAGACTACACCCACTTTCGGGGCATGCTAATTGTTTACTAACGAAGAGGGTGCAGAATTTTCAACAAAAACTTAATTTTAATATATAAAATAGCGTAATTCACAAACTCTGTTGTGCGTACAGTCATCTCGGGACCATTACGCACCTAATGACGTATAATACATACCGTAAACCCGCCGCCCTATTGGGATATCCTCCAGAAATAATGACGGAAGTGCAGGCAATGTGTCACACACACATACACTATTTTTTTATATATAGTAGGATACGAAAAAAAATTGGATCCCATGAAAATTCTACCCCCGAAGGCTAAAATTCCCGATTTTTAGGCCAAAGTCTTCGAAACAAAGGTCAACGCCGCGCGCCGACAGAATGAGCCGCACAAACACTGGATGATCATCTACGCCGACGCGAAGGCCGTCAAGTCGCACGGGTTTCTGAAGCTCGCCGAAGCGAAGCACCAGATTTTGACGATGCACATCACCACGGAGGTATTGGAAGAAATTTTTTAATGAATTTGGCTTCCAGACTCTTCAAAAACTGAGTAACTTCACGTGGGAGAACGTGCTGGCCAAGTTGAACATGAAGGCTGGAGGGCTGAACCATTCAGTCGTGCCGCAGGGAGCTGCGTAGGTTTTTACAGAGTGTCTCTCAGTTTTACACACTCTCTCTCAGGCTCACTCTCTCACCCTATCGCCTACTTATTACGACAAGTTTAGGCTAAAACTCTGGAATAGCAACACGCTGGTGATCGGCTACGATGTGGCCCACCCCACCAAAGGCCTTACAGCTCGGCAGATGGCTCTCGGCAACATTGGAGAACCATCTGTAGTTGGGGTAAGTCCCGAAAGCCAATTCAAGCCTTTGCGCAAAAAGAAAACAATCTAATCCCGGCCGGGAGTCGAACCCGGGTGGTGAGGGTGGGTGGCAAGTACACTACCAATTAGCCATGCCGCGTCGGGCTGGCCAAAACTTTGCCTTTTAGTTTTTCGCTATGGTTTTTCCTATGGATTTTTCACGTCACTCGCCATTCCGTGGCATAATTTATTTTTAAGCCTTTTGAAGCTCATTGCCGAAGCCGGAAATCAACCATTTTTCAGTTTTCGGCCAACTGCACCGAACATCGCGATGCTTTCATTGGTCACTTTGCCTATCAACAGCCGAGAAGGGAGGCGGTAGGTCTTATTTATAAGGTCTTTAAGAGGTCGAAAAGCTTAAAAATTACATGTTATTTAAATACAAAATTCAAAATTCAGGTGTCCGATCAAGTGCTAGACCGATTCCTGAAATGGACCCTGAAATGCTGGCGCGAAAGGCGGGGCAGACAACTGCCTGAAAATATCATCGTGATGCGCGACGGTGTCTCCGAAGGACAATACGATATGGTAGGCCCTTTAATTGTACACTCATATCGTAATCTCCATTTTTCAGGTGCTCCAAAATGAGCTCGAAGCCCTCCGAGCAGCCTGCCAAGAATTTCAACCAAATTACCATCCCAAGTTCTGCCTCAACATCTGCACCAAGCGGCATCATAAGCGGTAAGCAACGCTTTTACAGTTTCTCAAATATACACTCTTGTTCTAGTTTCCTGAAAACGGACGGAAATGGCGTGACAAACGCGCCTCCATTGACCGTCGTCGATCGCGACGTTGTCAGCGCAAGCGTCACCGAATTCTACATCCAATCGCATGTACCGCTTCAAGGCACCGCAAAACCCACTCAATATGAGATGTTAAAAAATGAGATTCCGGGCATGACGGAAGACGTCCTTCAGGATCTCATCATCGCGCTCACCTTCCAGCACCAGGTTAGGCCGGAAAATAACTAAAATACAATTAAGACATTTCAATTTTCAAATTCAACTTCCAGATCTGCCCGAAATCAGTCTCAATCCCTGAGCCCGTCTACCAGGCCGACGAGCTGGCCAAGAGGGGCTCCGAGCTTTTCAATGCGTATCTGGAGTAAGAAAACAATTCTAGATTTTTGTCCATATAGTATTTACAAGGTTTGCAATATAGTTTTGAATAATTTTACAAAAAGAATAAAAAATAAAGAAAATTGGGCTTTAAAATTGATTTTTTGTTGAGAATCAAAATTGTCGATGTTTTTAAAAGTTTATAAATATCTCTTCCACTATAAAATACTTAAAAAAATATTGCAATAATTAATTTTAGCGCCAACGGCTTCATCCCAAGGAAGGAGAAGGACATCGACTGGGACGACCTCACCAAACGCCTCTCAAATGAGGGCAAAAACCTCGATGGCCTGCGCGCAAATGCCTAGTTTTTCTAAGGTATTTACACAAATATTTTGCATTATTCCATAACGTTCTTTTGTATTATCGGGGGGGAGGCATTTTCATATCAGCACAAAATGCTTTTTTTGATAGCATGTAGCCAAAAATATCTTCACAGTAACCAATTTTTTTTATAAAAAAAGGATATTTTATACTTTAGCAGTCGTAAAAAATAATGATGACGTCCTCTTATGATATTAGAAGAAGAAAGATTAATTATTAAAAGAAATTTGAGGGGAAAATTCGTCCCCCCCCGATAATGCCAAAGAACCTCTTGAAATAGTTCTCCTTATTGCAAGCTTTTTCTACCATCGATTATCCTTATTTGGCTATACATTATTTATTGTTCATCTTTTTTTATGAAAAAAATCCCAAAACCCCAAAAAAATCGTTTATCATCTTGTACAGAATTGTTTCTATTGTACATTTTTTTCTCCAAGTTTTCTCGAAGCCTGGTTGCTCGAAAATATTTGATTTGCCCCGAAAAGAATCATTACCGGTCGATAGGTCCTCATTTTCACTCCCAGCAATACCCCAACTAGTCTTCCCATTTCCCCATGCTGTGATTCCCGGAGATCCGAGCTCAAAAAAATCCAAAAATCTCAAAAACCCTTTGCATCTCCCGCGCCCTCAGCCTCGCCTTTTCCCCGTAATGATTCACGCCGTCTTCACCTTTTTTCTTTTTTTAAAGGTTGAAAATAAATCTTTTCAGCTAAATCTTGCGAATCTTGTACGGCTGCAAACGAAAAACTACAGATTCCACGTCAAAAACTATCGAAAAATTCACATAAAAAGGCAACTGTTTGTGTTCGGCAAAAAATAAAATCTCTCAAAAACAAATGCAGCCGCATTTGCACGTCAAAAAAAATGAAAGGGCCAAAATTTACATAATATAACGAATTGCGGCAGGAAAGGCCTTGAGGTTTTTAAATAAAACCAAAGATCATGCTAGGATACGGCTGGCTGGCCGCATTTTTGTTGTGGCAAGGTGTTAGGTACGTTTCCTAATGACCTAATCTATTAACGCGCCAAGCTCGACGTTCCCGTGGGTGAAACCGGAAGTGCAATTGATCGAAAAGGAGCAGCCGAGAAGCCAGTTGCTCACTGAAGGTCGGAATCCGCCTCAAAATCCCTTTACAAGGCTACCCGAGCGTGGATTTACACCTGCGTCTCTCTCTCTCTCTCTCTCTCTCTCTCTCTCTCTCTCTGTAAATAGGCGCCTACGTTGTATATAAAGGTGTAAAGTTAATTTCAAAGGCCGTTTTCAGAAGACGTCCTGAAGGCCGTCCATTTGTCGCTCGATGGCACCATCATCGGCATCATTGTTTGTACGTTTCCTCAGTTACTTCTGCTAACCTGCCCCGATTTCCAGTAACGCTGCTGGCGAGTCTCTCGAGTTATTACTGGGCGTGGAAGGGCTTTCACGACGATCGAGAGCTGTTGCGTATGCTGCGCACGTCGACCAATGAGATGACGAGCCTCGGCCAGTTGCATGAGGAATTGAAAGTCCAGAGGTACTTTATGCCTTAAAAAGTGTTGAAGCTGCCAATTTCAGCATCATCCAGCGCTATTGCTCGGGACCCGAGGTGAACTGTCATTTCCTCAATTATCCCTGCTAGATTGCCTTAAAAAATTCAAGTTATTAACGAAATCAAATTTTTTAGCGCGAAGAGGCCATCGACGATCTGATGGAGGCGCGACTGCTCGACTCGCTGCGCAGCCCCGAGTCGTCCGCTTGGTACTTGGTTTAGCTCCGTTCTAAAATCAACTTTTTAACATTATAAAACCTCAGAATTCCAATTTCCTTTCCAGCGATGACCACGAGTGATACGCGCCCAGCTGCGAAATCTTCAAAAACAACCCTGAAAAATCGATAAAATTGTGGTGTGAATAAACGTTGAACCAGCTGGCATTGCCACATTTTTTATGCCACAAAAAGCCAAGGATCCAAGCGAAAACGCCTGCAAAAAAAACGATAGAAAAATACACGACCTTTCCCTGACTGGGTGATAAAGAAAATGGACACGAAAAAGTGATGGATGAACGGAAAAACATGGCGAATCCGGGTCCTTTAAGGAAAGTGGCGAGACAGTTGTGAAGTGAAGCTGGGAAAGGCAATTAAAAACGCGATGCGTGTTCGCTTCAGATTTTCCTTTCCCAGCTCAACTTTGCAAATTTCTAAGCCGAAAACCTAGCAAAAATAAAAATTAATTGTTGGTTTAAAAACGTAACGTAAAGTCGTTAGAAAATAGAATTACGAGAATAGGGGCAGTCTACGACTTCCAAGACAAATTTCTAGAGTTTTACTAAGAAAATAGCCATAGCCGGTACAGCTTTATAAAACATCAATATGTGCAACGAAGTCAGAAAATACACGAACGTACAAAGTAATACAAGGCTTAAGTGCAGTTTACCCCCCCAGCCCTAACTTTTCAGCCATGCGTCCTATTAATGCGCCGAGTATCTCAAAATGTTCGCCGTGGTCGAATTACTATAAAAAAGTTGTTTTCTTACATCAAAAATTGTTAGGAAAATTTTATAACAACAATTATAAGTCTGGGTTTTGCTTTAGTTTAATTTTTTTGTTGTCCCAAAGTGATGTTTTCGTATCTCGGCTATCTTTTGTCGTAGCAGAGCGGTCAATAGTACCAAAATGTAGCTCTTTCTCTGAGAATAAGACCTACAGTACGTTTGAGTCAAAAAAAAATAGCGGAAAATAAAAATATTTGAGTTTTGGACTCCTAGTACATCGAACTATAGGGCTTAAATTTCTTTCAACTTTCAAAATCTTGTAAAAAAATTTTTAGCAATTTTTGCCGCAAGAAAACAACTTGTTTATAGTAATTCGACCACGGCGAACATTTTGAGATACTCGGCGCATTAATAGGACATATGGCTGAAAAGTTGCGGCTGGGGGGGGGGGTAAACTGCACTCTAACCTAATACAACATAGTACAAAGTTTATATATCTGGAGGGCCGGTCGAACAAGGATATTTGCCTCCAGGGGGAATTTCAAAACGACTAAAATGTTTCTAATCACTAATCATTTCGGCTAGAAGAAGATGTGGTGGGCCGCGGCGTTTCGGTGAACGTCTTCAGCACGTAGCGGTCGTCTTCGGTGCGCTAAAAAGATGAAATAATGATAACATTCTATACGCTACTGCTTACCTCAATATTTAAAGCGTCAATAGTGTTATTCGGAGCGAAAAGCATGCGTAGATCGCTGTGCAACCGGATGCCGCCCTGCTTATCGCTACGAATCCTGAAAATCTGGCTTGATCTTTAGCTTTTTGACGAACTTGAAGTGGACGAGATAGCGCAACCATTTCTGCTTGTCGCCCTCCTTCATGAAGAAGGTGCGCTGGCGCAGGAAGGTCGTCGACCGGGGTGCCATATCTGTGAAGTCGTACCTAAAATTTCGTAGTGAGCCTGTATTGTTTATACGTTTTTATGATTTCTTTATATTCATTGGCTATCAGAAATTTGTTTTTTTTACCACGATTTAATAAACAAACCGTTGGACGAAGATGCGGACGACGGTCCCCTGTGGATTTAGAAGCGTCACTTGGAGTGTCCCGGCCGGCGGGATGCGAATGCCACGCTTCGAGATACTTTCCAACGAGCAAATTCCCTGAAAACAGAGCGTTTTGCTGTTTACAAACTAACTTTACAAAACGAAGCATTTTGGCCATTAAACCTAAATTTTCTAATTTTTCATTAACTAATTAGATCATGTTTCTATTATAAAGTCTGGCTTCCTTCGCATTAACTCACCAAATATGGTGAAGGTGCCGCCGTGTCCGAGTCGTTCTCAAAATAACAGGCACGGACGGGTAGTCGTAGATCCACGGATGGTAGTGGCCCGTTTGAGACGACTAGAATTTTTTTGGATGCCTAGCTTTTTCCTTGACTTACCAAGGTGGCAAATGAAGCCTCCCACCTCGGCCAAAGGATCGAGACGGCCATGCAACGCACTTTCCTCAAATATTATTCTTTAGTTTTCGAGGATTCTCGACGTACCTCAAAATTACACAAAAGACTCTTGCTGCTCGGGGCGCTGGAGGCAAGGCGGGGGCAATCTTCGTCTGGCTCATTCGAATTTGTAGAATCCAGGCAGATGCTGGTACCACTGAAAGGCAATGTCTGCATGCAAAAAAATCCTGTAGGCCAGTCTAATCGTAAATATTCTATTTCTACCTCCTCAATCGTCGCCGCTTCAGCTCGACCGGTGGGGCAGGGCTGGAATAGGTTGGCAGGCCCATCTACACAACCAATATTATTTTTTAGCCTTTCAAACCCGATTAAACATCTTTGAGCGTTGAATGCTGCGACCAGTTCGTTGTTCCTCTTTACCGTCCATCTATAGACACGAAAATAGCTAATTCTAGTTAAAATTACCATCTTGCTGGTGTCCTGTAGGAAACGCGACAGCGGTGATGACAGCGGCTGCGGGGATGTAGCTTCCAGAGAATCCGAAAACAGAATTCGCGGCGTCTCAAGCGAATCCTAAAGGTTGTAGGCCTTCTTTGCGAATTACCTTGAGATGATCACTGGGCAAAACACCGTCGTTGGCACGCTGTAGGCTGCATGGCCTTGATAGTCTGAAAAAAAACTGGGTTTTGCTCCTTTTCGCATAAGTTTAGTTCAAAAATTTCCGATATTTGGAAAGGCTTCACGTTCTACTCACGTTTGCAATGCTTCCACTGGAAAAACCGGTGCGTCGAGTGGCGAACTAGCAGGACTTCCCGATGTGCTGCTACAAAAAAATTGATTTATTTATTAGACCCGTCAAACCTTGACACTCCGATCGGGCGACTACAACCTGTAATCGGCGTTGGTAAAGCCGGGGCCCTTAGGAATCGTAGTGAAACAGAACACCGGTAGCCATCTGCAAGAAATGTACTCTGTTTTCATCTAGTTTTTTGACGTACCACTCCGCTTCGATGGTGGAAAAGCATGAAGCTCGGGCAATAAAGCCAGGGTCTCCTGTTGAGAAGAAACAGTCATTTTTAGGCTGGAAATGACGCCGACGCCTGGCGGTATCTGACTTCCAGTTTGCCAGGAATGCAGCGGGGAAAAGTGAAGTTGAGACCGAACGGCGCTGAGCAGGAAGAACGGATCCATACCCCCGGCGGCTTCCTGACCGAAGTCTATAGATTTCGTGTTTTTCATCAAACCTCGCCGATCTCCCGCTTGATGGTCCAGATTTCCAGCAAGCGCGCCTTGGCGCACACCGCGCCGCACTGCTGGTGGGCCGTTTGTACAACGATCGAAACCGGATGCCCTTTCACGAGTTGTTGCTGAACTTCAAGCTCTAAAAATTATCGATAAGCTCGGATTTACTGAAAATTGAAACCTTGATCAGGCCATTTCTCGAGACGCCTCGCTTCGGCTATTATTCTGATGACATCAAGACACGTATCAACGGCCGATTTTGCTGTCATCGACCTGAAATTGGTTCCGACTAATTTATTATTGCCGAGGTCCTACCTTGATTTACCCGTATTATTGTGTGGCAAAAAATGAGGAATAATTCACGGCATTTTGTGGCGCCTTTTCATATAGTGCTCTATCGCCCTGCAGGGAAAAAAATATAAATAAAAAAAAGAAATTTAAAGATATTCGGGTCGTAACCCGGAAGATTCACGCGTCGGAACCCTTTGCGAAACCTTTATCGAAAACAAAAAACGCCAACTCCAGTAGGGGTAAAACAGCCTCATCGGGGTCGGCGGGGAAAAGATAAGGGCACAACTCCTGCGGAGAGAATGCAGTAATGGACGAACAAAATATCGTCAACAAAACAAAACGGATCAATAAACTAGAGCTAGGCAAAAATTACAGTCTATCGCGGAAAAAATTATGGTATCTATGTTCTGGCGACGGCGGCTGAACGGAAAATGCGTCGTCGAGTCAGGCCGGCTTCGTGGCGAGACTTTTCAAACTTTTGCATGTCTTCTTCCACCTAAAGCAATTAAAACTTCTATTTCTAAAGTTTTAAGGGCTACCTTCAGCTCGTGCTCCAAAGTGCTGCCGGTCCTGTAGTCGTGAATGAGATCATATTGCAAGTAATCGTTCATCTAGACCTTTTACTGATCGAGATATTCACAATCGGCCAGACCTTCGTGTGATGGAGTTTTCGTTTGAAATACGGCGTTTGAGCCGTCCAGGCGTCTTCGATTCCCTGGCAACCGCGGATTTCCCATCGGCTTGACCACGGGGCCGGCTTCATTTTTACCTAGGAGAAATCGGTACTGGACTGTTAGCGAGGGTGGAAGTCAAATTTGACCTAGTAATCTCGTGCGGCCGCATTAATTTATATACACAGATTTCCTAACACTTTCCATAGTCTTAAATAAAAAATGGTCATAAGAAATTCTAAAAATGTTGGAAATTTTTTACTTGTTGAATAAAAATGTAGAAAAAAAGTAAAAAACGGCTTCACTAAATTTTAATTTTTGTTAAATTTCCCAGCAAACAAAAAACTACTAAAAACACTATAAATTACATTAATATGATCAAAAGGCATGGATAGGCGCAGAACAAAAAGAGGCCGCCAAAAGCTAACCCTGAAGCCTACTACAAAAAAATATCTTTTTACCTTTAACGAATTGACCGGAATCGGGGTGCCAGCCGGGTGAGCCACGCCCTCCATGTTGAAATCGAAGGTGGAATATTCCGGGAGAGCGTCGATCAGATACGAGAGATCGTTGTCCAATCGTTTCTCCAACTTCAAACACTCGATCTTCTTGATTGTCGGGTTGTACATCTCGTACATGATCTCAACGCCTAAATTGGCGTCAAAATTACAAAAAAAAAACATTAATTCCTCACCGATCCCCTCAACCACATTGCGCAGCGTGAATCGATGGTGCAGCCCTTCTTGCTCCCGTCGAATGCAAATGCCGACGAATCGATGCTCACGTGACGCCAGATTTTTGTCGGCGGACGTGACGGCCAGTATTGATCCTAGGAAATGAATAAAGGGAAAGGAGATATCTCCATACCGACATAAAAATTCTGGGATGTCGAGCTGCATGCGACGCTCGAGCATGTCCGCACGTTCGAGCTCGTCTCGGAGGGCCACGCGGCGATTCCATACTGGCGATTGGCCGAAGTCGGGGAAGATTTCACTAAAAAATGGATTAATTTCTAATCTTATGGTTTTTGGCTTTCGACGGAGAAAATTAAGTAGAAAAATAATTATAAATAGAGACTAAAATATTTCTAGTGGTTTATAATTTTTTCCCATGAAAGTCACTAAAAACGCTTACTATTAAGTTACTAGGGATTTCTAGACTCACTTGCCTCCGAAATAACGCTATTTTTTAAGTGCGAAATCAAAAGCCGTTCAACTGTGCAACTTCACGGGGTGAGGGACGGATTTTGCCAGCTGGGAGGATGGGAAGGGGCGCCCCGGAAAAAGGGAAAAGAGGGGGCAGCAGGCTGGCTGGTTGGCTGTCTATGTGTGCAAAGAGAAAGTCGCGGCGACCCAATGGCCGAGTCGATAGCCACCCGCATGATCATCGCTGTGTTTTTTTTTTGTGAAAACCAGAGAATGTGGAAGACTAACCTAACCAGCAGTCGAGCAGTCCAGCCAAATTTGCGAACAATTGGCATGAAATTTAGAGCAGCCAAAAAAAAAGCTAAATTTTCAGCCATTCTTTCTAGGGTTTCTAAAATTTTACAGTATATTTTTCTTAAAAAGATATGCAAATACTATATAAAGAAAACGGGAAAATGTGGCGCTATGGCCGCGCCATCAAACGGGGGTTCAGCAGAGGCGCAAAGGAAAGAGGGGTAAGGACGGCTGAAAGGACACGTGACGTTGTTGCCCATACAAATAATGTTTAGAATCCCCATCCACAAAAACATTGGTGCGGAAATTCGAATAGAAAATAAATCCAAAAATCTTTTTTCCGGAAAGTACACATATTTTCTGACTTACGGAAATTTTTCCAAGTGCTGTAACTGCTTGGCCTTCTTCGGTAGCTCGGACGGCGCAGTGTTTGCTTGTTCCGGCTTCGAGCTACAAGCCCCTAAAAATATAAACTATTTTTTTGGACAGAAATAAATAACCTCGTATCAATTCCAGCCCAGTGCCGGTCAGCCGTCGGCTTTTGACCAGCTGCCTGCCCAGCATCTAAAGCGAAAAATTAGCGTATTAGGGTAAATTAATGCATAATCTATTATTATTACTACCAATAGCGCTTTTACGTGTTAAAGTAGTGAATAAATTGTGTATCAAATATTACGGATTGAGGCCTCCTTCACGGGATAGTGACTTCAAGTAACAAACCGCCAAACGGATACTAACACTTTCCAACAAAGACATGAATCATTTATCAAACCCCAGTATGTACAAACGATATAACAAGATAAGTAAGTTAATTACCACGTAACAACATCCATCACAACATTCGAAAGAAAAGGGGGAGCTCAACTCCGCGGCAAGGCAAAAGCTTCTATTGGGAGAGGAAATCAGCAATGTACAACAAAATGGCAGGTAGGAAAATGGAAACAGGGAAATCAGAGCTCATCGGCGTCGCTGCTGCCCAGGGTGAACTCGCTGCCGTCCGTCTCGTCCGAGTCAAAGCCGCTTTCGTAGCCCGGGCTAAACAAGAGTAACGTTAGCTATTATTTAATCATGCATACTTTTGCTTAGAAAAACGAAGCTAGCTTACTTTTGCCCTAACGGCCATAAATCGCGAGCTGCACCGATCGGGTTGAACACGGCATCGAGCAGCTAAAGGATTTTGCCAAATTCTCGAAGCTAAAGGATTATACCGGCTCCTCGGCAGGATCCTTCGGCTTGGGACCGGTGCTCATCTCCTTGTAGCAGAGCGGGCAGACCTAAAATTTAGATTTAAGGTCAAAATGGAATTTTGGCCTGTTTTATCGCAAGCCACTTCCTGAGACATGCTCCATGGAACAGATGGTTACATGGGGCAACCCGGGCCTCGGTCACCATTTCGCCAAAGCATATCGCGCACATGTCGTCTTTTGCTTCTAAAATTCGCACATATTTAGAGCAGAGATTTCTGAGGAAAAAATTAAAAAGAACCGTTCTATGGCAATATCAGGGGCACTTTCCTCTGAGTTTCATTTTTTTCCAATATCCGCCAGGACAGCTTTTTTTTTCGATTTCTAAATGTAAAATTTAGAAAAAAAATTTTAAAAAATAAGAAAATGTCGCCTGCCGTACAAAATTTAAA